CGTTTTGGGACTAGTGGGCCGAGTTTCTGTTTGTACCCATTATTGTCGCGAAATATTTTTCCCCGCGCTAACAATGGCCGCTCGCGCGCAAAAAAAAAGTTTCTGGCGAAGCGATTTCCTGACGCTATCAGCGTGCACTATCGGGATTTTGAGCACGGTTACGTATATTGAATTTGATTGCGCGGCTCTGCTAGCTATGTTCTAACTAACAATTATTCCACGAGCACACGTTGTATGAGATGATAGATAGCCCACAAGGCGCGTAGCGCCGAGTTGGCTATAATCATCTCATATCCAACATGCGCGAGTGGAATAATTGTTTTATTAAAAACGTTAAATTAAATTATTAAATTTTATTAAAATTTTTAGCTCCCTTTTTAATTTTAAGCTGACGCGTACGCTTAACATATTTGTAGATTATGGTATGTTGGCTCATATACCATAATGGCTAAGCCAATAAAAAGTCTTTAATTGCATTATCCAATGATCCAGTTTTTAATAATTGATCATATTTATCAATTTATTAATCTATTTATTTGCATTATTTGATAAGGCTGCTCTAGTTCAACTAATCGAGTTGTAAAGTAACCAGTAATGCTGGTTTTAAGGATGGGGGCCCGTATAAACAATCTAAACTACAGTACTACACAAATTCTAGGACCAGACTAAGTTTCAAAGTGAAACCCGCCTGTACCACTTATCTTTTAGTTGCGTAGTAATTGTGCTAACATGCTCTTTTATTTCTTTTTTCCAGAAGAAGTTCAAGAGGAAGCTCAGACCCGGACAGATTCCTGGCGTTCTAGCGAGCTTATCGTCTAGAACTTTTTGACAAAGTTCCACAAGGTAGGACTTAAGTAAAGAGTTCTCTTGTTTGCTTGACTTGTAGTAAGAATCCTTTCTAATGGTGAATCTGTCCACAATCTAAGGATGCGCTGATGTTATCCTTTTTTGAGTGAAACCAAATGTTTTAACCCCTACTGTATAATACAGCCTGTATTAAGCGTCACCGTACTAACAGGACAGTCTTCAAATTCTCGAAAATCTTACTCCTTACTGTAATTCTCACCTCTATTAAGCAGTTATCCCCCTTAAGCGGTCAGGGTCACCCTTTAGTGGGTCCCAACGGCCCTTTTGTATTGTCTTCCACCCATATTGAACATTTAAAGCGAAACCAACCAAATAATACTAGGAATAAACTTCCAAGCAAAGTTTAATCCATTCTAATCTCCCGAATTCAATGCTAGTAATATTTTTGAGCTAGTTTGTGGTGATTTTTATACTTTTGCATCAAATTTCTATTCTCTGGAACCTGTTTTAAGCAGCCAACGTGTGTCAGTGGGTCACCCCGCCATTCCTCGAAGGTAACCGCTTAGTACAGATTCAACTGTTTATCATATTCGGCCGAAAAGCGAAGCTTTGAGGGTAAATGTGACTTTTTGATGACAATCTCTCTGCTAGGGATATCATCAGCCCATAAAACAGCACGCCAGAAAGGGATTTATGTATTTTTAAGCATTTCATTAATATCAATATCGTACAAAAACGTTCGTAAAAGGCCATTGTTGATCCAGTATGACAGATACGCGCGCGATTTACGTAACCGAGTACATTAGGCGAGTACATTCGCTCAGACGAGGGGCTAACGCTCGAAACGTCAGCTTTTGTAATCGTTACGGTGGCCAATTTACCATTTCAACTTTGTTGATATATCCAAATTATTTCGTTACTCCCACCGATGCAGCCCCAAACAGTTTCTTTCGAAACTATCAGCCTTTATACATTAGGCTCAGATGGGGTTATTCTGTGATTTTGCACCACCTGAAGTGAAGCAGCTCATAAAATCACGCGAAAATTAATGGTTGGATTATATTTTTATGTCTTTGTTAATGCAGGTCGCAAACTCAGTAAAATTTAGCAAATGCCAAACATAATCTGCTACTTGGTGAAACAGCCTTTCATCAACTTGCGAAGTGTTAATTTGAATTTCCTTCCACTGATTTACGACAGATTAGGTTTACAGCAGGCAGGTGAACCTTTTCAGACCTGAATACAATTCCAGCATAAATTTATTCAATAATTTATTACCCAGTTTATTTTTTTTCAAAATTACATAGGTTCTTAAAAATGTGATTTTGTTGTTCTCTGTAATGAAAGTGTAAGCTTTTGTAATCTCCCCGACTTGTGTAGGCGTATGACTAAGCACCCAGTTATCTTCCTTTTAGCGATTTGACCAAACGTGTTCATGAAAATGACAGTAAAAACTTATCATGTACTAGTCACCTTAGGAGAGAAAAGTCTTCACATTTCTTAGACTCTAATGTAAACTGCATAATGGTTATTTTATTAACTTATAGATCGCTAGTTTACGCCCAGGATGAAAAGTTGGAGCGAAAGAAAGGGAGAGCGAATAGAGACCTGTGAAACGATTAATGACGACATACCAACTTTTTAGAGCTTTCCTTTTTTTTTCGAGCCACTATTTTCGACTAGTGCCTCACTCAGGTCTCTCAGTTTCTTCATAACATCTTACTTTCAAATAAACATGGCCTAGATAAAATGCAGTGAAAGTTTCGTTCATGTCTGTTGCCATCTGTAACGGAAGATAACTGCGCCATAAATACATGAATTTTGCCTGCTGATGGAATAGATTAGAATCACGTGCTAAACAAAAGCTGTTTTTATCATTACAACTCCAATACGTGTCACTTTTTTATCCGCCTTCGTTCCTTTTAATTACGGGACTTATATTTATACAAAGCCACACAAATACGGATCAAACTTTATTCATCTTTCTCTCAAGTTTCTTAATAACTTTGCAAACGATACTGTGAGTGACAAAGCGCAATTAAAATAGATTGAGAGTTATGAATAGAATATTCTGGAACAAAAAGTGAAATTCTTGTCATCTTGTCCCCAAACCAACCACTCAAAACTAATATCAAAAGGAAAGAGAAGCACCTGCGTTATTGGAATCAAACTGTAAATCAAACAAATTGGGAACCAGTCTTTTTTAAAACTCATCTCAGATGACATACACACAAGAAGAGAGGGATGAGAAAATTTCAATCTACGGTAACATCGATAAGTTTTGCAAAAACGAAGAACGAAAAGCGAGTAGACTGAACTTTCTGCCCAAAGAAAGACTGTGTACAGCTTCGCGGATGAATGAAAAATAGCAAACGAGGATGAACGTAAGTTATGGAGAAACCTTCATGGAAAACAGGACGTACCTGTTTGTTTTGTAACCTTAGAACTTCCTTCTTGGATGAAGATTAAAAGGCAATGATAATGAAATAGAACCTTCGTACTGTGTATTGATAGACAGAAAGATAGTAGTGAGATGGGTAAAACCATAATGTAACAATGATTTTTGGTCTCTCCTTCACCGCACAGAGAGGAATGACATAAAATTTCATGGATACAATGTGGATTTAAATGCAAGAAAACTACAAGGAAGAGGTAAGATAGGTTTGAAAATTATCATTTTGGTTAGATTTATACCGAAAAGAGGTCTAACTCCTAAAAGATTAAATAAAAACTTTCCAAAGGCAAAATTTAATCTCCACTTTGGAAAACGTATAATGAAATAAACAAATGAAAAATTTTATAAAATCAAGAAAACTTCTTGCCTTTCTCACGAAGTTACTTAGAAACTCTTGCCTTTCCTCTAATCTGGTATGAAAGTTGATTTGGTATTCCTGTGTTCACCGAAAATTTACAAAAGACATCTTGCTTGATCTCATGATTGCATTTCCTTTTAGAGACTACTATTTACGGTCACTATTTAATAAAAAAATTTAATTGCGAATGATCTGCCTGTCTCATGTAGTAGGTTATCTACCGTATCGAGTACACATTTTATCGTCTTTCTTACACCTTATCCGTGTATAGGAAGTTAATATACTTAACTAGTCCTAGCAGTTTCGACGATGCTTCGAAGAAGATGACCATATCGACCAAGCGATTTGTCTGAGTCTCATTTCACCAATTAGAGCGTAGGAACCTGATCAAACCGTTATTGTATGGGCTTAGAGTACCAGAGAGGCTCTCAAACTTGACTGAAACTAAACAACAACTCCGGTCGATTATCATCATGAGGAAACATAGCTTAGTATACCGATAACCATTCCCTTCCTAAAGATGTCTATTTCATTCTATTCTAGTCACTGTAGCAGTTGATAGTCAATCTGCAGATATGGAATTCCAATCTGCGTTATCTGCTGTTTATAGCATTTTCATTTTCACGTCACTATTCGGAAACTCGATAATCATCCACATCATACGAACAGATAACTCCATGAAAACTACCACCAACTATCTGATTTTAAACCAGGCGTGCGGTGATCTCTACCGAACGTTGATTGAATCAACGAATATTGCCTTTCGTTCGATGGGAAATCAGTGGTTTGGAGGATTCTTGGGTTTGATAACCTGCAAGTTGTTTTTGACGAGCTTGTTTCTTCCAACCATCTTTTCGGTTTGGATTCTTGCAGTTATTGCTGTTGATCGCTTTTATGCCGTCACTCGACCTTTGCAAACATCACCTTTGTCACGACATTTAAAGAAGATAGTCTTTACGCTATGGGTGTGGTCGCTAGCTTCTTCCACAGATGTCCTTATCAAGGGAAGCATGAAAAAGACTGAAGACCATTTCATTTGCCATTTGGAACGCGTCTACGAACAGTGGAAACTATTTTACTCTATGACTGTATCTCTAAATTTGTTTCTGCCTCTTCTGATATCAGGAGTTCTCTATGTGATTGTTTGTTCTAAACTGTGGTCACGCAAGGTACCAGGAGAAGGAACCAATCAGAATCGAAGACAAGCCGAAGCTATTAAAACTGCAAGGAAAGTCACACTGATGATGATTACACTAGTGGTGCTGTATTTGTTGTGTTTCGTTCCTTTTTATATCGGAATCACTCTGAAATTTTTTGGTTACGTGAACGTCAACTTAGAAAAGTTAACTTCTAGTCTTTTGTTGATAGCATTTGCATATAGTGGAATCAATCCCTATGTTTACTTCATCTATAGTAGGAACTTTCGGAACGGATTTAAAAATAATTATAGAAATTTCTGTAAGAAATCACGGGTTGATACTGCTGTTCATGATTTCAGAGGTAAAAATAGGGACTTTAAGCAAACCACGACGGCTACGGCAACGAGAACGTGTAAAAACAAAAGATCTAATTGGCAGAACAATAGCCCAGCACGTGCGTTTTAGACTTTGTACATTTCTTAGCCGTCCTTTGCAAAACAATAACGTAAAATCACAAAAAATTTGCGTCGTCTGCGAAGCGAAACCGCGACGGCAAATTATTTTAATTTACATTTGGAACCCAACGCTACTTTTACGCATTATGTTGAGTTTGAGATCTGGCGTCCTATGGGACGGTAAACACATGCAGCCATTTTCGAAATTCTAACTAAAAGTAGAAACTCATTTTTTAATCGACGTCTTCTGTGGCGTTGCCTTCCTGACTGCTTAAAGTCCCAAATATCGAGCTGTGGGAAACGCCGGTTATTCAAACTTAAAAATTGGTCATTTGGACTTTTTTGTTCGATGAGTTCAATTTAAGTTGTCATTTAGTATTCCGGCATCACACAGACAACTACAGAGTTACGTGGGGAGAGATAAATCACATAAAAACAAATGGTCAGGAAACCTATCAAAGACAATAAGGCTTGAAGGCGCAGGATCCCTGACGACAAAGAATGGACAAATAATTATTACATAGAGTGAGTCACTTATTATTGACAATAAAATGTTATTGAATATTACTCCATCAAAATAAATGCATATCGTATATCTAAATAACGGCTGTAAGATTCTCCATTGTGTGATGAATTTTTCAAATTGTCTTGTTCTTTGCCTCTGGCAATATCCACTTATATACTGGTTTGGCACGCTACAATATTTTATTTCAGTCCCACCACCAATTCTTTTTTAAGTATGTTTTGAAATTGTATACAACTTGAATGTCTTACAAGTTATTTCTGGTAATGAATTTCTTGTTTTCCTCTCTGAAGGACGCGGTACATTAAGAGGCAGTAAGATCGTGGTTCAAGGGAAAGAGCATTTATTTAAAAATAGACTTTCCTCTATTATGATAATCATACAAGTATATTGACATACTCCACACAGTATTTCCTTTCCTTTAAGAAGGAAGTGATAATCATAGTTGGATCTATCTACTTTGTGTTCAGCATTGCACATGCTTTTGAGTTTTATTTGAAAGAGAACAAATTCAAATAAAAAAAAAAGGTAAAATTATCATCTACATCAATAACAAATAGCAGTTATGCTGTTGGCAGCAATCAACTTTGGTTGTTTGTCTTTATAATATAAGAGACATTGCAACTAAATTAAACTAAATTTTCCCATCTCAACAGGGGGAACATGGAAAGCAGAATAACATTGTGTATCAGCATTGCGTATTTCCTTCTTTGAGAATGGAAGCTTAATCAAAATGGGGATTGGGAAGACGTTAAAGTTCAAATTCACCCCCAAAAACTTTCACTGTTACATTAGCATCAATCCAATTTTTAACAAAGGAAAACCAGTGGAAATAACAATGACGCTGACACATTTCATCATTGATTTTGAGGTGCGCATTTTCTTCCCAAAAGAACCGGGGCCAAAATTGATGAGGTCTCCAGTCACTCAAAACAAGGTCTCCTTTTTGACATATGTTTTGATTCACTTGAAGCCTATTTAAATCAATAGGAGGCATAACTACATGATTATTATTCAAGTCTTAGCTACTACAAAAAATCAAACAAACACAAAAAATACACAAAAAAAGATTTAACATATTCGTGACTAAGTAAGGCAGAATGGCAGTCTAAAACTCTGCCTTTTGATGTAAGGGTAATTGGACCTTTCAGTGGAGAGAGAAATTTAATAATTAAAGAAAAAACGACAAATGAGTCATATTTCATCAAACTAACGCACATTTAATTATCATTCAAAGCTCTTCTTTTGTTATGAATTATACATATCTTAGCTGCTGCTAAACGTTTTTATCTTATAGATGACAGTCTCGCCATCCACTGGTGCCCATATTATGTTTTGTATTGACGGCGTACAACTCAAATGTTATAGAAGAAGTCTCACGTTCACTTTTAGCGGCAACGTTTTGTGCTCTTCAGGTTTCTCGCAATCAGATGCCTTACCACACTCGAAGCTTTATGGAAAAAAACGCGTTGAAGGACTTAGACGGTTAAAAGGGTGTTCTGAATTAAAAAAACACAGCCACTGCAGTACAAAACAATAGCTGATAAAATGAACATGACATTTTTCACCGGCAACTGCGACGTCAAAGGCTACTTACTTGGAGGTCATAACAGTAGCAATGAAGCAGGAGATCGAGGTTGGTAATTCAAAATGTCAGGAAATAATCTATCTTTAGGATAACCGGCTTAACCCAAAACATGTAAAGGTAATTTTGGAGGAAATCATGCTTATTCCGCCAAGAGGACAGCTGTCGGTGAATCCGGCTAAAAATAATGCATAGTATATGAAATATGACTTATCATCTTATGCAAAAAGGGAATTTTCGTCAGTCATTCATTTCATCACGGAACACAAAAAAAGTTTAAATGAAAGGGAAAGGTCCCTGAAGATTAAGTATATTTGGTGCGACTTTCTTCATGTTTAGGTACTCATGGATACCACCATGGTAAGCTATACAAATTACGCATAGAGAGATAGGGTGACTCCTTCAGTGATTAAAAAATATGACAGTGTTAAATGGATAAAAAGTAAAGTGAATTTCTACTTTTCAACAATTTCCATTCACAGGAAACATGTCTACAACCATTAAAGAAACAAACACAAAGTTTCAAGGTATTACTTTCCTAATGTATCTTGGACACGCTATCCTATTTCTAGCATCACTGTTTGGAAATTCTTTAATTATACACATTATACGAACAAACAGTTCTTTGAAGACCACTACCAACCAGTTGATCCTACACCAGGCTTTCACAGATGTTCTTATAACATTTGTTCAGTTAATGAATGCTATTCATTACAATTCATACAGAAGGTTGTGGTTCGGAGGATCACTTGGTAATTTTACTTGCAAGTTATTCCTGACAAGCTTAATTGTTTTACCTGACTTTTCAATTTGGATACTCGCAATGATTGGTATTGATCGGTATTACGCAGTGAGTCGACCTCTCCAAAGATCTCCCGTGTCTCGACATTTGAAAAAGGTTATTATGATATTGTGGGTATGGAGTTTTCTTACTTCGACGAAATTATTTATCGAAGCTTGTGTTGAAAGACATAACACGTCTTACTACTGTGATCTGGAGATAACTTTAAACAGAGGAAGAAAATTCAACGCTTTTGGATTGGCGTTCAACATTATCTTGCCTGTATTGGTCATATTAATCGTCTATACAAGAATATGCAATCAGCTTTGGTCACGCAAAGTACCAGGAGAAGGATCCAATCAGAATCGAATGCAAGCTGAAGTCATAGCAACAGCAAGAAAGGTTACTCGGATGATGATTTTTGTTGTATTTCTATTTCTCGTCTGTTGGCTTCCTATCCTCATAACCATGGCAATGCTGCTTTTTGATTTGATCCAATATGAAGATCTTCTGTTCCCTCTGTGGCTGACTGTTGTTTACAGTGCACTTAATCCCTACTTTTATTTTGCCTGTAGTGGAAATTTTAGAAATGCAGCAAAACTTTCGTTGGGAAATGTTCGAGTCCTCCGGTTTCGATCGCAAAGTATAGAGCTCCAGCAAGTATAAAGAACTTTCCCTTGTCCAGTAAACATAAATTTTATCGAGAGGTTGGGATTTCTTTCCTTGTAATGAGTGTTGCAACCTCAGGTACGCGTAACTTTAAAATTCATTCTTTTTGTCAAAACTATGGTGGAAGACTCTACACAGCACATCATTCTATCCTGTGTTACATTACTTTAAGGTTTGAATTAGCTATGTTCTTTCGTCACACGAGGCTCTTCGATGCCTTGAAAATAAGTCATTATGAAAAGTAATTTTTTTATTATTTTGTCTTTTTCGACAAAGTAAACATTCCTTGCATAAATTTTATTATGATTGGTAATGGGCAACAAATGCAATAAAGAATGTTATCTCACATAGGATATGATAATGAACCTAAAGAAAAGAGTCTTAATATCTGATAGAAAATTTATTACAGAGATCGTGTTGAGGAGACGCCCTCAGGTTTTCTTTAATATTTCTGGACATTATCAAATTGTACATCAAATGAACCAAAAGTAACGCTGACAATACTAGTACCCGTCAAATCTTACTTCCTTTACCTTATCTCTTGAAATGATTTCCCTGATAATTGTCTAGCTGTGTATTAGAGTTTCATATTCCATGAGGAGCTTTCGGTAATACTAATCTAAACGCATAACGCAGCTCAATGAAAATAAAGAAATGACATATACAAAAGAAATTTTCATTATTCCAAACCTTAATAACCATGATGGGTAGACATTAGAGAAAGCTTTTAAGCTTTGGTAGTAGTGCTGTGGGGAAAAAAGAGCTTAAATGGGGCATACTAAATCCCTAAATTTTTCGTGACCCACTTATTTTGAAAAGTTCCGAGGTTGAAGATCAAAGACGGAACCTGGTAAATTTTGTCTTACATTTACACCTAGTAAACATTCTTACTGTAATTCTGGAACTGTTTGAGATCTAGTTACTCTTTTTTTTTTTTGTACTCCTATCTTTCCTATCAGTTCAAAACGCTGAAAACCATCAAAAATATTTTCACATAACTTTTATCCCAAACATCTAGTTGCTCTATACCTTTGCTTTTCACGAGGAAAACATTCATTCAAAATATCGTACCATCCGCTTTTTAGTGGGAGGTTGATTTAGGAAGGAAACAAGACAGAAGATGAAAGGTGAGTATTTAACAGTCAGATCGGTGTACATTAATTGAATATGAAAAAAAAAAGAAAGAAAAACAAGTTGCTATTTCGTGCTAAAAGGACCACAAGAAAGATATTTTTAACAAAATTTCTTTGATGACAGGGCGTACATAGTGAGCACCATGAAATATGAAACGACCTGCCAATATGACTTTAATATCTGCTAATCCATTAAACTGATCAGCAACCAATCCCAAGATCAAGGTATTTAATTATTTCAGACCTCGGTGGGTTGGGCTGGTGGATGGAATATCCATTAGCCCTATGGGCAAAATAGGGTATCAGTAACCAAGGTAACCAAATAGACACTTAGACGTGACGCTCACATTAAAAAGCAATCGGAAATTCGATCTCCGCCAATATCCAGAAGGCTAAAAGTTATGGTTGAGTTGTTTTCAAAAAGCCTTAGAATTACGAAAATGCAAAGGGTCCATTTACCTCTGCCTTGTACCTCACTTTGTACCTAAGGTTATTTCACAGATTTTTCAGTAGCTTTTACATTCTATATACCCTTATTTACGCCTATTAGAAGTTAGAAGGGGTTAACCTTCCCTTTACGGTTAAGCTGCTCCTGACAAATTCCAATGAATGAGCGAGTAAAACTAAAATAACTGAAATACAACAATGGTACATCTGCTCATGATTATACCTCGTCATCGCTGATAAATTTAAGGGTACCTGATTAGAATGGCTAAATATAGCATAACATGTGTCGATCTTTTTTCCACAGGGAACTAATCAAGTACCACTAAAGGAACATATCTAAAGTTTAGATACATTTTTCTCATATATTTTGGTTTCGCCATAATATTTCTGGTTTCAGTGTTTGGCAATTCATTTATTATGCACATAATACGAACTAACAGGTCCATGAAGACCCCCACAAATCGCTTTGTCTTAAATCAAGCATTTGTTGATCTCATAATAACCACGAGAGGATTAATAACTGCCATTCATTATATTTCGTACGACCAACTGTGATTCGGAGGGTTAATAGGACTTATCGCTTGCAAGTTTTAACAATCAATGGTCATTTTCAATCGACTCTTTCAGTTGGGATTCTAGTAGCAATTGCTGCTGATCGCTTTTATGGGGTGACTCGACCTCTTGGACGGTCGCGGATATCTCAAAATTTCAGAAAAGTAATCCTATTAATGTGAATATTGTCTCAAAGTTCTTCAGTCACCATTTGTATCAATGTAAAATTGGCTAAAATTAATGACTCTTACTACTGTCGTGGGACGGAAACCTTAACTACATGGTCTTAATTAACCGCTCTTTTAACAACTTTGAATTTCTCCCTTCCTCTTTTGCTGATAGCAATTTATTATATAATAATATCAAACTCTGGACTCACGAGGCGCCAGTAGAAGGAGTTAATCAGAATCAAAGGCAAGCCGAAACTATAGCAAGGGCAAGGAAAGTTACCCGAATGATGATTTCTGTAGTCGCCTTATTTTTTGTTTCTTGGCTGCCCTTTCTCCTGACAACGCCTTTGATCCTTTTTGGCTTTGCCAAATATGGTTACTGGTTTTTATTCCCATCTGGTTAACGAATGTTTATAGCGGACTTAATCCCTTTGTTTATTTTGCCTTCAGTGAAAATTTTAGAAATGGAT